TATAATTTTAATCGTTATTATTAAAGATTTTTTTATTATTAATTATTATTAATATATTAATATTATTAATAAAAAATAAGCTTGTGTGTATGTGTGTGCGTGTGTGTGTGCGTGTGTGTGTGTGTGTGTGTGTGTGTGTGTGTGTGTGTGTGTGTGTGTGTGTGTGTGTGTGCGTGTGTCGAGGGGAGGGGAGGTCGGACCCCTCGTCCACCAATCAATCAATCAATCAATCAATCGATTAATCAATCAATCAATCAATAAATAAATAAATAAATCAACCAATCAATCAATAAACCAATCAATTAATCAATCAATCAATCAATCAATTAATCAATCAATCAATCAATCAATCAATCAATCAACCAACCAACCAACCAATCAATCAATCAATCAATCAATCAATCAATCAATTTTTTTTTATTTTTTTTTTTTCTTGATGATACAAGCTGACAATTGTTGGAGAGAAAACAAAAACAAATATGTGTTGACACTTACTGCAACTTTGGTGAAATTTAGCTTCTTCAAAGAAGTCGAATTCGGTTTTATGTTATTGGGACACACACATACGAACGTTGATGTCACTTTCAATCATTTCTCTCGCAAACTGAAAATGCACGATGCTTATACCATGCTCGACCTCTTCAAGCTCGTTGCCAGTTCTAAAAAAGAACGTCCATCGTGCACATTCATGGATGAAATTGCCTGGATGTCACAGAGAACTTTCATAATGGATGACACTACAACATTAAAATCGTGTGGATAGCACGGGTACCATGTGTGAACATGGAACGATGGTGAGCGGCCGTGTTCAATAATAGCTGTTAAATTCGTTTTCAACATCAGAATATTTGCGAATGCCTTCGATTTGTTGTCTCCGCCAAAGTGTGGAATGTTGGTCTTGCTTTGGTCCATGCCGTCAATGATGATGCATAAAGTGTTGGAACCCGGTTTCTTCGACTCATCCTTCCACACCTCATACGTAGCACGATGGTGGAGCTGCAAGTCCAAGTGTTTCTCACGTAGCGAAACAAAGTACTCACGCACACGTACGAACTTTGCGTAATTGATAGATTCTTTGCATTCAACATATTTCTCGCATTTCGCAAAGTTTTGATCAGTGTCATGGAATTTCACATGCCAAAACTGCATTCTCCACATGTTGTAGAAAACTTGGAGAGAAACACAAAAAGCACCCATGTTGTCGAATTGTGACTTTAGCAACTTATAAATATCAACCTTGTTATAGCAAGCAGGCAATCTCAACACCACTCTCAATTCTCCCTCTTTGATCTTCATATCATTGGGCATCGAATCTCCGTTGTCTCGCACGAAGGAGCTTAGTTTTCCGTACATCGTCGCATATGTTGCTGATGTGCGTCTGAGTCTAGTACTGCCATGCTCCGACAAAATGTAGCTTTTTGACAAAGTCATCCTTTTTTTTAGAAATGTATTCCTACATACACCTAGTGTGAAACACTAAGCACTCATGCACACCTTTCGTCTCCCTACAATAGGTTGAACAATCTCCTTCGCATCTTCTATGAAGGTGAACCTCTTCAACGTTTCAACCCACCATGCATCCCTGCTCTGATGGTCCTTAGAGTAGTATGCGCTCCGGACAGCTTTGATGTCGTCCAGGGTCATTTTAGCGCAACACTCTCGCTTACAACAAACTTGACCATGCACACTCGCCAATGTTTTTTTGGTGAGTTTTCTATAAACTGATTGCAGAATCTTCTTTGACCGCGGCATTCTGACACGAAAAGTATAAGGACGCTTCTCTGAGGACAAACGTTTTGAAAAAATGTCATCGAAATCAGAGGTTACATCACAATTGTCATCGTCATTTCGACAACAGTGGTCAGTGTTCCGGTCAGCTTACGTTTGCGGATGATCGGTTTTACCTGGAGAACTATCAGCACTAGACGACACCGAAACACTTGAATCTGAACCACCTTCATCACTCTCACCAAATAGAAGACCTGTGTCCTCGAAATCTCGAAGTGAACTCCTCGGCACCCATACAACACGGTCTACATCGGATACGTTGTTGTCAGCAGAGGAGGCCTTACCCTCCTGATCTTCCGCACTCTCTGCATCAAAGGTTCGAACCGGGCAACGAAGGACCGCACACGCAATATTTCTTGACCTCTTACGAGCAGGAGATTCCGGAGCATTATCGACACGTTCGTGACCACTTCGAACATCTTGTGAACACATTGGCAGGTGCGGTGGAGGAAAATCCTCATTGAGCATTGTATTAGATGCCACACAGTCCATGCTTTCCATGGTTGTGCTGCAAGTCTGTTGTGGCATAGCACGCACACACAAGCCATGCACGAGACGTATCTGCGACAACAAAATAGCGGACAACTGTCAAAGGCGCAAATGAGAGGTCAATGAAAGGGAGCAGACAACCATCCCTACATAGCTGCGAGAAATACAGCCCTATAAATGACATCGAGAAACACAGCCCCACACGGGACGGAGGGGAACAGGAAACATCCGAGTGCGGATAACACATGACCTTGGAATCTGAGCATCGAGCTGAATCACTCACAAGGGCATAGAGACCGGGTTCGAAGCGGGGTGAGGACTTAGCAGTCAGTCATCAGGAGAGTCTGTGCCAAAGACGCAATACACACAAAAGAGTCTATTGAAGTCGGAGATCGAACGAGAGTGGGAAACGTAACACATGTTTCGTCGGGCACCAGGCGCAATACGCGCAAAACACAGCGTGCACCAACAGTGAAAAGGGGGAGATCTTGACGTGCAAAAGGAAACGCAGCACATGTCACGTCGGGCACGAGATTCGGAAAGGCAGAGACCAAGACAGGCAAATCACAACGGGCACCAACAACGGAAACACGAAGACCCTGGCGCGCAGCACACAGCTTGGCATGAGCAATGTTACTCCAGGAACTTCAGCGACAGCACACGAGTGGTTCCCACCACGCAGAGCGAGCAGGAAAATTACCACAAGTGAGAAGGAAAACCATCGTGGCAACGCGACCACCTCATCCAACAGTGAACGGCCCCCGGTCTTGATTCCCAAGTACCAGACTCCGCGGATTCGAAGCAAAATTTGCACATAGTTCGAACGACGACACACGACGGGTTTCCAAAACCCCAGACTGAGCAGTTAAATGACTGCGGCAACGACATTCTCGCGCCCAACATGAGAGGGACTCCATTTTATATTATCACAATCTCGCAATTAGCAATCAGTGTAACAATAGACAAAATACAGTCACCCGTGTACTTTGTTCCGCTGGTGCAACTCGCACTAAACTGCGTGGAAGTCGAAGTGAGTTGCAGTGCCTGTTGCCGTGCCGAACACGAAGAAGTGTTTTTCTTATCTGGAACCCGGGAGCTGCAGCGCCGTTGTCGTGGCGAAAACGAGCAGGGTGTTCGACACGACCATGACCTCGTTTGACACGACCATGATGGTTTTCGGCACGACCATGATCGCAATAGACACGACGACGACGACCGTTGTCGACACAACCACGATTGTGTCCAACAAGACAATCGTATTCGACACGAAGAGGATCGTGGTCGATGATCGCGTTCGTCGATCGTACTCGACGATCGCGCTCGGCACGATGACGACCGTCTAGGGCACGATGACGAGCGCGCTTGACGTATCGACGACTAAGATTCACCAGGGGAAAAACCAGGGCTGTCCACTAGCCGCAACACCGGGCCGCCATCTGCAGTCAAGCGATCATCCCGACCGTTCGTATTCCCGGATCGGACGGCCAGCAGGTGCGTGCAGAGGGCCCACCCGAAAAACTATATATATGGAGGAGGCCCAACACTTCCCATTTTTGTTTCAGTCCTGTATCGGACGCGGAAGAGCAACGCAGCGGACGTTCGTCGACGCAACTACAGCGCAGGGACTCGTTGGTTCAACGGAGGTTCGTGCATAGCAGACCACCTGCGCGACGCGACGACGAACCACAGCGGAGGTGTTGAGAGTTGCAGGTCGCGACGACGGAGCGAGCATACGGCCCAAGAACGTGACGTGCAAACACAGCGGAGCACCACGAGTCTGAAGGATCAGACGGTGAGGACACAACCACGTAGCCCAGATGCAACCACGTGACACCACGTGGCACTTTCGATTCCCGCGATCGTCGAGTCGGACACGATCATGCCCGACTGTCGAGTTGAACACCATAGTGCCCGATCGTAGAGTCTAACACGATCGTCGAGTCCAACACTATCGTCGAGTCCAACACGATCGTCGAGTCCAACACGATCGTCGAGTCGAGTCCAACACGATCGTCGAGTCGAGTCCAACACGATCGTCGAGTCGAGTCCAACACGATCGTCGAGTCCAACACGATCGTCAAGTCCAACACGATCGTCGAGTCCAGTCCAACACGATCGTCGAGTTTAACACGATTGTCGAGTCCAAGACGATCGTCGAGTCGAGTCCAACACAATCATCAAGTCGAGTCCAACACGATCGTCAAGTCGAACACGATCGTCGAGTCGAACACGACCGTCGAGTCATCGTCGAGTCGTCGTCGAGTCCAACACGATCGTCAAGTCCAACACTATCGTCGCGTTCAAAACTATCGTCGAGTCGAACACGATCGTCGAGTCCAACACGATTGTCGAGTCCAACACGATCGTCGAGTCGAACACCATAGTGCCTGTCGTCGAGCTGAACACGATCGTCGAGTGCTCGTCGAGTCCAACACGATCGTCGAGTCCAAAACTATAGTCGAGTCGAACACGATCGTCGAGTCCAACACGATTGTGGAGTCGAACATGATCGTCGAGTCCAAAACTATCGTCGAGTCGAACACGATCGTCTCGTCCAGCACGATCGTCGAGTCAAACACCAATATGCCCCGTCGTCGAGCTGGACACGATCGTCGAGTCATCGTCGAGTCCCACACAATCGTCGAGTCTGACCGTCGTCGAGTCGAACACGATCGTCGAGTCATCGTCGAGTCCAACACGATTGTCGAGTCCAACACGATCGTCGAGTTCAAAACTATCGTCGAGTCGAACACGATCGTTGAGTCACACGATCGTGAAGTCAAACATGATTGTCGAGTCCAAAACTATCGTCGAGTCGAACACGATCGTCACGTCCAGCACGATCGTCGAGTCGAACACCAATGTGCCCCGTCGTCGAGCCGAACACGATCGTCGAGTCATCGTCGAGTCCAACACGATCGTCGAGTCGAACCCGATCCTCGAATCCAACACGACCGTCGCATCGAACACGATCGTCGAGTCGGACACGATCGTCAGTTCATCGTCGTGTCGAACACGATGGTCAAGTCGAAGACGATCATGCCCTGTCGTCCAGTCGAACACGATCGTGGAGTCGAACACGATCGTGCCTTGTCGTCGACTCAAACACGATTGTTCCCTACCGTCGTGTCGAACCCGATCGTGCCCTATCGTCGAGTCGAACACGATTGTGCGCAGTGGAATGTCGTCGACAGGGTTGTCACCCGGGGACCCCCGGGGGCAAAGCCGGGGCCGGGATTTCACCCCCGGAACCCCTCCCGTGGGGGCGCCGACCCCCGGACCCTGCAATCAACCCCCGCGCCCGCCCGACCCCCGGCACCCCCGCGGGACCCCGACGCCGGCACCCGGCACCCCGGCCCCGGCCCCGGACCCCCACCGACCCGGGCCCCGCACCCCCGGTCCCCGCACCCCCC